CCAAACGGTTAGGAGTTGAAAGTTGAAATTTGGTACACAGTTAGGGTACGTTAGGAGAACGCACACTAAGAAGGGATTTTTCGAAATTCCTCCCCACGGGGGAGAGGGACAGGATTAAGGCTTAACACTTCCATCAACAATGGAAGTGTTAAGTAACAATGGAAGTGCTAAGTAACAATGGAAGTGTTAAGTAACAATGGAAGTTTTAAGTAACAATAAAAGTTTTAAGTAACAATGGAAGTGTCAACAATGGAAATGTTACGTAACAATGGAATTGTTAAGAGAAAGCGACGTGCAAGACGCAGATGCAGTTTTTTCGTTTTTGCGGGAAATCGAACATATTTTTAGACCCATCTAAAAATTCTCTAATTAGTCTGGAAACAAGGGGACCCAATTCTTGCATTCTGTGAAAACGGGTAATGTTTACTGTAACGTAATAATCTTTATCTTAGTTATTGTTACTTTTGCCCAAGCAACGCCGGGCCCACCTGCTAGTAATAATAATAATAGATTAATAATTTGAATTATATAAATACCTGCTCCAGCCTATGTCTGGTCTGCAAATAAGGGTTATACCTTGCTCGAATAGCTCGCATTGAAGTTGGCTACAAATTAAAAAAAAACATTAAAAATCAAATTTTTTTTACAATGGATTTATATGGATTACAATGGACAAATATATCAGATTTTAAATATTAGTAAAGGTATATTACACTGACCTTTTGTATGTTTTCAGCAATTCAGTATAAACTACAGCACATAGTACATATTTAGTATGTAGGAGCTGTAATTTATAATTTTCTGCAATAATTTAAAGTGATATGTAAAATCAGCTAAGTGTTTGGACATTAATGACATAATCAAAAAATCAGACAGTTAATTAATTTAAATAGAAAGTTGTTCCAGAATGTTTTTCTTTTCTTTTCAAAAGTGTTCCAAAAAGTTTGAATGAAAACACTTCATTTAAGCCTAATGCTGGCTCCTGAAAGAGGTTGAAAATGTTTGCTTCTGGTTTATATTGAATTGCTGGAAATGTGTAAAAGGTGTAATATCCCTTTAAAAAGTTCCAGCTATAGAGAATATATTTTTATGTTTAAATATTAGTAAAATAATACAATTGAATCTGATTCAAATTTGATTAATTTGAATTATTGGATAAATTCATAATTTTTAGTATCAATTTGGATGATTCAGGCCAGCAGTATATAATGAACTTAAAATTTATCAATAATATTTTGAATATTAAATAAAATGATTTTCTTTTGAGTATATTAAAATAGAATTAAAACTTACAAGAAAAGAATAGATATAATTCATACATATATATTTACCTTAAGTGGCGTTTCAAACAATAATCTGGTCTAGTTTCAATTGTAATACCAATACATTTAATTTTTGACTGTTCACTGTAGATTATTGCTTCAGATACAGAAGAACTAGTAAAGCCAGAAAGAGCATCATGGAGATTTCGTATGAAAAAGTCTCTGTAATCTTCTGGTAGGCACATAAATGTTCCACCCATAACTATAAATTCAACTTTATCAACATCGTGACCAAGCTGTTTTAGCTGAGGTATTAGAAAAATTAAATAAATAATTAGAAAATCAATCATGATGATCAAATGTATTTTATCACTATATTAAGTCTGAATTATATCAGAAATTAAAACATGAAATATCTATCTTAATTTTAATAGTAATATTGTCTATAACCAAATGATTGCCTTAAATAATCGGGCTATAACTCTATTAATTTAATGATTTGCTCTGCTAAGTAATTTGCTGCTAGAGGTAGATGTTTGGTGCCATCTCATGACTAAATTAATAATTATAATAATTTATTAAATAATTTAAATCATCTGGAAGAAAATGGACTTGCAATGTTAAATATACTTAGTAATATTGTCATAAACAATACATAAGAAGTAACACCATTAGTTTATCATACACAGAATTATTAATATACATTCTATACTGAAACATACTGTATATACGTATAATTTTCTTGAATATTTTTATTTGCACATTTTATTATAGGGTTAGTTCAGAAATAAAGATTTTAGTTTTCCTCTGACAAGGACTATCATCAGTCCATAAATACAGAGAAAACAAAATATAAAGTTTCATAGTTATTTTATAAAATAAAAATTAATTTTTTAGAAAGAGCAATAGTTTTAATTTAGTTTATCACAAAGTCATTGGTTTTAAACAATGCCAAAACTTAATAATAATAATAATAATAATCTAATATATAATCGAGACGGGTTGATGATAATAATAATAATAATAATAATAATAATCAGCGCAGAGCCCAAACGGTTAGGAGTTAAAAGTTGAAATTTCGTACACAGATAGGGTACGTCATGAAAACGCACACTAAGAAGGGATTTTTCGAAATTTCCCCCCCGGGGGGAGAGACAGGATTAAAACTTCTATATACATTATGGATACGAGCCCAAACGGTTAGGAGTTGAAAGTTGAAATTTGGTACACGGTTAGGGTACGTTAGGAGAACGCACACTAAGAAGGGATTTTTCGAAATTCCTCCCCACGGGGGAGAGGGACAGAATTAAGGCTTAACACTTCCATCAACAATGGAAGTGTTAAGTAACAATGGAAGTGCTAAGTAACAATGGAAGTGTTAAGTAACAATGGAAGTTTTAAGTAACAATAAAAGTTTTAAGTAACAATGGAAGTGTCAACAATGGAAATGTTACGTAACAATGGAATTGTTAAGAGAAAGCGACGTGCAAGACGCAGATGCAGTTTTTTTCGTTTTTGCGGGAAATCGAACATATTTTTAGACCCATCTAAAAATTCTCTAATTAGTCTGGAAACAAGGGGACCCAATTCTTGCATTCTGTGAAAACGGGTAATGTTTACTGTAACGTAATAATCTTTATCTTAGTTATTGTTACTTTTGCCCAAGCAACGCCGGGCCCACCTGCTAGTAATAATAATAATAGATTAATAATTTGAATTATATAAATACCTGCTCCAGCCTATGTCTGGTCTGCAAATAAGGGTTATACCTTGCTCGAATAGCTCGCATTGAAGTTGGCTACAAATTAAAAAAAAACATTAAAAATCAAATTTTTTTTACAATGGATTTATATGGATTACAATGGACAAATATATCAGATTTTAAATATTAGTAAAGGTATATTACACTGACCTTTTGTATGTTTTCAGCAATTCAGTATAAACTACAGCACATAGTACATATTTAGTATGTAGGAGCTGTAATTTATAATTTTCTGCAATAATTTAAAGTGATATGTAAAATCAGCTAAGTGTTTGGACATTAATGACATAATCAAAAAATCAGACAGTTAATTAATTTAAATAGAAAGTTGTTCCAGAATGTTTTTCTTTTCTTTTCAAAAGTGTTCCAAAAAGTTTGAATGAAAACACTTCATTTAAGCCTAATGCTGGCTCCTGAAAGAGGTTGAAAATGTTTGCTTCTGGTTTATATTGAATTGCTGGAAATGTGTAAAAGGTGTAATATCCCTTTAAAAAGTTCCAGCTATAGAGAATATATTTTTATGTTTAAATATTAGTAAAATAATACAATTGAATCTGATTCAAATTTGATTAATTTGAATTATTGGATAAATTCATAATTTTTAGTATCAATTTGGATGATTCAAAATTAGTGTCTCATAATTTAAAATGAAACTCAAAGAAAGTAATATTTAGCCAACAGATTTGTAGAATGCATGTATTTGATGATTCTCTGAAATGCATATGTTCTGTAAATGCTTGGCACATGGAAGAAACATATTGTATCTAGAAGGTAAAATTGTTTAGCTGTACTTATATGATGTCTAAACTAAATTTAAAGTTGTAGTGTGGAACACATACGACTTTAAATTTAGTTTAAGAAGTTGAAATGATTAGATTAGAGGAGAAAAGAAAAGAAAGAGAAAATATGATATTGTTAAAAAGTTCGTGTCCCACAACAAAACATTTTTCTTCATAAAAAATGCACTAAATATTAATTTCCAAGAATTTTTGAGTATACTTATATAATGAACGAACTGGATAAATATACTACTAATAAAACACACCTTTAATAATCCAGCTAATAAAAATTAATAATACCATAACATAGTTATCACAGTTACCATAACATAGAATTCTATGTTATAGTAACTGAAGAAGATCGTTAAGAAACGATCAAAAACATTTTTACATTATTAATTTTTATTAGCTGGATTATTAAAGGTGTGTTTTATTAGTAGAATTTTTGAGTTTTGTCAGTTATGTCATGATAAGACCATGATAACCAAATTGTGCAAAAAAATTTAAAATAAATAAAATATGAATTAGAATAAACACTCTGGAATGCTTTCTGTATGAACTGGTTATGTTATGGCCTTATCCTCTGACAATCTGCTGATATAATTTGAAAGGTCTTGTGAATTAGTATTGTGTGTGATTTTGCTCCAATAAAGCAATTCTAGAAGTGTTATTTGAATATAAATTTTGATGAATACTAGAATTTTACAGATAATGTATTTAATTTTAAAAAAATGAATAATTTGAAATTTTTTAAAAATAGTTTTCAATTTTTGGTTTCCTTCAAATTAAAAAAATTCAACTTTATAAAAATCTTTGGCTTTTTCAAAACCCACAAAATAATTTGTAAGTCATATTTTAAAGCTAAACTGAAAATACAGTGAAACTTCCATTAACAGACATTCCTGAATAGCAGATACCTCTACTTAACAGACATTTTCACAATCCCCAGAGCCTTTCAACAAGGCCATCTATAATATAAACCTCTAAATAGTGAATACTCTAAATAATTGCTGCCATCGTCGATAACCTACCTTATGAAAACACAAAATCCCATGTGAAAGAAAGAATTCTAAAAGAATTAATTATGTATGAAATATTTTAAAACTAAAACAAATAATCAGTTCAAATATTCTTTCAGAGGACAAATTTTGACTGTAAACATCAAATAAAGACTGGCTTAAAATAGGAATAGAGGAGAAGAGCAAGTTGTAAAAAGCCTAACAATATTCTTTATCTGTTAGAGACGACTAATCTGGTTAAGTTGTCAATCACCATTTATTGTCATACATATTAATGTTATTAAACTTCTGTCTTATTGTTGGAATTAAGCTTATGGGTACCAAGAAACCATAAACTTTCCTGAAGTTATTCATTCATTTAACAAGAACAGTAGTACAGTAGTAATGAAAAATGAAAAACCAGTTTTAAGGTTAAAACAGCAGTGTTTATTTGGTGAAAGTTCAAAGATTGTGTTATGAAGGCAATTTGCCAATCACTTTAAAGTAGGAAGATATTCAGTTTTCTCGCATTTATGATGTAATTTATGCTCTTAACAGCTTTGTGGCAGCTAAAGTAATTTTTAATAAATCATTTATTGAAAAAAGCAAAATTGTTCAAAAAATTACACCTACTCAATAACTACAAAGTGAACAAATCACTATATTGATTTTTATTAGTTGCTTAGATCATAAATGACATTATAAATGAAAGAATACCAAATACATTTCTTACCCATTGAAGTGATTAGCAAATTGCCTTCGTAACTTGACATTCAAACTCTCATCACCTAAACCAACTTTTGTCCACCCTTCTGTTAACAATAACAGTCTCATTTTTTGTTTTTGTTACTTCCACTCAGGTCATTTTTGATGAATTAATAATTAATCAACGTTTATATTTTGTCATAATTTTTATGTTCAATTTAAAGTATCCTATACAATCTGTTTGCTATTTAGAATTCAATTAAAATGTGATTTTTACAGCTGGAAAGATAAATAATATACTGTATATATATACAGTAGAGCGTTGTTTATCCGAAAGTCGGTTATCCGAAACATCGGTTGTCCGAAAGAATTCCAGTTGGCAAATTTAAATTTTCGCTAGTGCTGTGGTGCTGCAATCTGTGGCTGTATCTTGGGCTACTCCAATATTTTTTTGTTGATGTGTGTGTTTTAGCTGGCAGCACTGGCACTTTTGTGTGGTGTTTTTCTGAGGACTGTGTGTCATGCTGAATCGAATGTTTTTGATACTAGATCAACTTCTAAAGTATAATTTTTTTTTGTTTTTATATTCTTCAATATATTTATTTTGTTTGTAAAAAATAAAGAAATAATTTTTAACGATACAATAGTCACGATTATTATTTTAAAAAGTTTACATTAGGTTAACATCAACAAAAATTCAACGCGAAGCGACACGCAACGGAGAAAAATTTCGACATGGGATAGGTTAATATGTTTTTTTGTACATAATCGGTTATCCGAACAACCCCAGTCCTCAATTGATTTGGATAAACGATGCTCTACTGTATATATATATATTTTAATTATATATGCTACATATACTTTTTGGTATACTTGGATGTTGGTATACCAATAAAAATTTGATTTTTTCATAATCCTTTGTATTCTTCACTTTATTGACCAACTTAAAATACTTAAAATTTAATGACCAACTTAAAATACAACATTGCCATTGGCATATACCTCCAAATAGCAGACACCTCTAAATAGTGGACAAACTTCTCAGTCCTGACAATGTTTGCTATTTGGAGGTTATACTTTAATAAATAAAAAAAAATGACAAGTATATATAAACTTTAACTTGAATAAAAACTTTTATCCAAGAAAATTTTAAATACTATTGAGATTTCAAAAAATAATCAAAATTTTATGAGTTTTATATTTTTGACATGGTTCATAAATATTTGATAATTATTATATTTTAATAATACCTCATATCCTGTATAAGACTGAGTTGAATATTCAAAATCAGAATCAGGTCCTCCTGGACAATATCTAATAAATATACATTTAAAAATAAAATCATTACTTTTAATACGTAACTTATTATTATAAATAGTAATGTAATATAAACATTCTAAATGAGTGAGTATAAATTGTTTTATTTAAAAAATTTTTAAATAATATCCATTATCACAATGATGAGTATTTATTTTTCATTTCCTTTTTAAAAAGTAGTACTTGATTTGCACAACAATATTATTATAATTATAAAAGTTAACAGGATGTTACAGGATGTATCAAAAAGAACATTAAAGTTTTAAATTTTTATAATTTCTTATTTGCTGCATAAAATAATAATCATAACTGATATGAAAGAGGAATGTACAAAGTTTTTTAACACACATCACAAGTGTTAAAAAATTAATTCTATTAGTACATCCTAAAAATTTAAAATTAAGTAAATGATGTGCGTAAAACTGAGCTACAAAAGTTAAATTACTATCACTTTTATAATTATTTTAGATTTTTTAAATGTTTTGAATAAATAACATCGATTGAAACTGAATGTTCTTTACAAATATTCTGTTAAAAAAAGCATATTGAAAGAAACCATTTAAATCAGTCAAGTGCAACCTGTAAGGTCCCAATATATGGTGGCTCTTGGACTTTGATAACAATTTCATTTTCATGTTTTCTGCTTCTGCTATTATGCAATCCTAATTAAGCTGATATTTGTGATAAAGAGCATTCACACTAAACTTGATCAGTGAAAAGATGAGAATAAACTATATATTACTAGTATGCATAACATTAGCACATGTTACTTTAGTATCTAGTGTACTAGTGGTTATAGAGTTATCAGCAGATGTAATGCCTGCAACTCTAAGAAAATACATATTGCTCACCAGAAGCCTATGAAGTTCCCTTGTGGCTCATATCCGGAAAGGGTTGCACATCACTGACTTAAATGCAAATAGTAATAGTATTTTTTTTTAAATTTTAAATAAGCTTTATTGTAACATAAATATTGATATCTATGATTAAATGTTTATTAAAATCTTATATAATTTTTATATTCAGAAATTCTTCACTCAATTTCATCTAAAATTTTTCATCAATTTAAGATGTTCATACTTCTCAAGAAAGGAAAAGATAATTGAATGTGCTGTTTTTTTTCTGTTGTTCTCTTCTCACTAACATTCATACTTAAAAAAAGCAAGTAAATTTGCTTGCAGTAATTGATTTAAAATATAGTGGTTTCAATGTACTGTACTTTAAAATGCTCATCAAAGTTATATTTTTATTCTTAAAAAAATAATGAAGAAGAAAAATACATGCGCTTAATGAATTTAAGATTATACAGAATGAAGAATATTACAAATCAATAAAAAAATTAGGAAGAGTTCCAAATATTTTTTAATATCTGATGCAAAAATATATAATAATCAATAAGCATTTCATTTTCTGCCTTCTCAATTAATACGAAGAATTGTGAGATATGAAGAAAAACTTTCTTGCACTTTTCCAACAAACCAAATGAGAATGAAGTATGTCAAAAGTAACATTTGGAAAAAGAAAAACTAAATCAGTTTAATGTCTTTTCCTTCTCTTTTCCCCTTACAAAAACTATAAACTGGTCTTTGCAAAATTTAAATATATAAATAAAATAATTACAATTCTAAATTATGTAAAATTGTTTGAAAAATTTGTGAAAAAATTTTATTATGTATATTTTAATGTTTTTGTTACATCCAATTATAAACAAACAGAAATAACTATTTAAAATATCAATCAAATATAAGAGCAAAAAATAAAATAAAATGAACTTACACACAGACATTACCAGTCATATTAATATGAGGACAGCGATGAGGTTTGCACATAACAGCAATTACAGCAATCTAAAAATCATTAATAAATTATCTTAAAGTCAAATTTTATATGCAATGTTATGTAAACAATATAATAAATTTTAATAAGCATCATAAACTTGCTTTGGGCATTATGCATTAAAATAAAAAAGTTTTTGAACAACTTGGTTTGAATTAAAATCAATTGCTTTCAAATTTTTAAATGTTATCTCAATGTGTAACATCTGAAGATGGTTCAAGTTAATGTTATATACATTTAAATTATTTAAACATATCTATACATTTATAATAATTTATAAAATTGTAATAAGAATGTTTTTTCTTTTATAAATTTAACTATTCAAATCTCACTACATTGTAATATCCAGCTATCCAATATAATGTTTTCTAATGTCTTTGTAAACAACAGGTGCATTTCCTAGTAAAGCTGCTAAAGAATGCTTTAAGCAATTTCTACTTTTGTAGGAAACACTTCTACACCTCAGCTACTCAGCATTATTGTTTGGCTCTTTGTTTACATTGTTTTGTATGAATAAGGATGTTTAGTCAGAAACAATGAATTGTCGCCGAGACTATAAAGTATAGGAGGCAGCCAATCATGAAAATTCAATCTATACTAATATTATAAAGAGGTAATGTTTGTAAGTATATAAGTAAGTAAGTTTGTATGCAGCAGGTAATCTCTGAAACTACTCATCCTATTTCAAAAATTCTTTCACCAATATTTAGAATGGAACTTCAGAGTGGACATAAGCTGTATATTATTCCGTTAAACATTCATATAAATTAAATAATATCATTTATGGTTAAGGCTTTTATGTCCAACAGATGGCACTACGAGTATGACGCCCTAAGTTTGCTTTTCTGTAAGGCATTATGCTTTTCTGTGAAAATGAACTAAAGCAGATCATCTATCTATTTATATAAATAAAAATGTAATGTTCGTTTGTTCCTACTGATTCCTTTGAAATTTTGACACAACGCTGCATTCAAATATGCACGTGTTTTTATATAATATACATGTCGAAATTCAACCCCACTGAAGGGAGATGGTTAGGATTAAGGCTTACAGTAAAGAACTCTGCTTCTATTTATACTATTTTAGATGTGGGTTTTTGCGTTTTTCATTATGTTTTAATAGGGTACATCAAGAGAATGCACACTAAGAAGAAATTTTTCGAAAAATTCGAAACGTATCTCTATCTTATAGGGGGGTCGACTGTATTAGAATTGTGTTTTAAAGGTAATAAATGTAGGTAATAAATGTAAAAACAAACTTATTTTATTTATCACTAGCTGTCTATCCACGGCTTTGCCCGCATTATATCGAATTTTCTCGTGGGAGTAAGATATTTTCTCGCAGTAAAATGTAGCCTATGTCCATCTCCAACGTGTAAGCTATCTCCGTGCCATATTTTATTAAAACCTGTTCGGCGGTTTAGACGTGAAAAGATGACAGACAGACAGAATTACCTTCAAATTTATAATATTAGTATGGATTAATATGAATTTCTGCTATAAGGGGTACGCGAGTTTGAGCTCTTTCTTGAAGTGGTACACAGGAAAAAGTAATTGGGAACCACTGATATACAAGAAGCATTTTAAAATGAATAGAGTGTTAATTTTCAATCTAACTATATAAAATTAGTTGTCCTGATTGAGTGATTGATTCATCATTGCCCAGAGCAAACTGCTGAATCCAAAGAGGTGAAATTTGGTACACAGTTAGGATACATCACAAAAACACACACTAAGAAGGAATTTTTCGAAATTACCCCCGTGGGAGAAGAGGAAAAGCATTCAGGCTTAAACTGAAGAACGGCTTCTACTGTACTATTTTAGATGTAATTTTTTATTTTCAACTACGTTTAGTCTTCGTTGAGTACTTAGATGTATTAAATTGATAACATTTCAGACGTTGTTATAAATATTTTTATATATTTCGATTTTTTAACCAAATATTTGAACCATTTTAAATTTGAATTTGTTATTGCATATTGGTTCGATTATAGAATGATTGTAAACATTCCAGAAAAGTGATCAAATTGAAAACAGTTCTTTTGAATCTCAGCAATTCTTTTATTCTCAGCAGTAGGTGTTATATAACAATTACTATAGTTGTTGAAATACCGAATATAAATGGTGTTTGCTTGAAAAATCCGCACAGGCAAAGTTGTGGGTAACAGCTAGTAGGGGACATATAGACCAAAAAAATTTGATGGTTTCAAACAATGTATGCAGTAGAATAGCATTGAAGCTACTTTTGCTTTATTATTTTTATTTTAACAATTTTAAAGCATATATTGTGAGGGAAGAGTGTGCTTAAATTTCAAATTATAGTAATTTTTCAAAGATGACATAAAATTAATTTCTGAAGGAAAACATTAATTTGTAAATGACTAAATATTAAGCATTCATCAAATCTAAAACTTATCTTAACATTAGTCAACCTCACACTTTCCTTAGCTGTGATATTGATTAATATTTAATAATTAATGTTTAATGTTGATTAATGATTAATAAACACCTTTGTCTTCAGCCTTAGGATTAATGATTAATAAACAACCTTTGTCTTCCATCAATACTTTATTAGCAACAAAATTTTTGTTGCTAATAAAGTATTGATGGAAGATGTAAGGAAGGTGTGGTTTTGATTAATGACTGAGCATTAACTTTTTCTTATTTAGAAATATAAATAAAATAGAGGAAGTATGAGAAATAAACCTACAGTGTGCTAGTAATAATAAATAATAAGTAATATAATTTAGAAAGATTTTATAAAGAAATTTTAAATTATAATAAATAATACTGGTGTAAGGATCAAGCATTTATTTATTCCACTCTCAGTATTTTAACATAATTAAATAAATTAGTTCAAAATTGAAGAATAAGTTTTGTTGCACTGATACTATTGAATGCAGAAAAATATTTTTTCTCATTTTTTTAATCTGTAAAACATGATTTTTTGTAGATGAAATTATGACTATAAAAATTCATTTAATTTCTTTATAGAATATTAATGCTTTTTATTATAGCAAAAATGCAACAACATTGATAATGCTAAATTTCCTGTTTTATGAATTAATTTTAATGTAATAATTTATAATATACAGTAAGACCCCACTTAATGCGGGGATATGTTCCTAGATGACAAAGAACTAAATGAAACAGTGTTAAACAAGGTTATTTTAACACAGAGTAAATAGGAATATGAATAACACAGAAATAGGAAATGGGAAACATGACCAAAAATAAACAGATTTTACTTTAATTTTAAAATTATTTTTATATTAATTTGCATAATGATATATGTTAACACATAAACCTATGCACACAGAAATGCAAAGTTCATTTTTTGTGATGGATGTTCTGGCTCTTCTGAAATTCTTGTTTTTTTGTGATAAAGTTGTGTAGTTTCATTTGTCGCTTTCTTTTTCTTACTTAAGCAAATGTCAGTAGCAGGAGATTGCATCCAAAACATCTCGTCTTGCTTTCGCACTCCTTTCAAAATCTGGATCATTTGCTACAATTTAATCAACAATTTTGGTTATCATTACCAAACTTTTACTAAGGAAATCTGTAGACAAATTCTTTGGATTCTTTGTTTTCACAATCACTATTTTCCAGTTTTACATGAATTCCTTGTTCTGCCAGTTCTTAAAGGTCATCATTGGTAATGCTCTCTCCAGAAACCTGTTATAACTCCTCAATATTCTGCTGGTCTATATCTCCTAGTCCTGCTATATCGATTTAAGTTGGTAATTTGGTCAACCTAATGATACAGTGATAGGCTTTTTTCATTGAGAATTCTTGGACACCTCCAGCCATAATTTCTTCTACTCTCCATTCATGCATTTATCAGTTAATTCTTGGCAAGTGAAGTTGATATTGCCTATGGCATCCTTAATGTTATATTTTTTTCGAAACTACACCAAACAAACATAGATTTAAAGGGACATACAGTGCTACAATGAATTGCCATCTTTTGCTGATTGGTTCATGTTTGGGAATAATTGTATTACAGTATTGTGCGAATTAATGTGAACACAAGTGAAAATTTGAAAAAAAAAACGTTTATTGGTTAAAGATGAATAGAATCGAAAAATGAATACAATTTAAATTGTTTTAATATGAAATATGTCCTCCCTTGGCTTTAATAACTTCTTGGACATGTTTTGGCATGGAATCAATAAGTTTTTTACAGTTTTCTGTTATTTGCTGGTCTCAAAACCATATCTGGATTACAGCCTCTATCAGTTTTGTTTTTGTTGTGCAATCTATTTTATGAAGTCTAGCTTTTACTATTAAGATCTGGTGAATTTCCTGGCCATTTAAGGCATGATATCTTTTTGTCTTTGAAATATTTAATCATGATCTTGGAAACGTGACAAGGAGCTGAGTCTTGTTGAAATACTGCTTGATTGTTGGCATCAACTTTTCTAGTTCAACTTCCAATCTTTGTTTTAACAAGTCTCTGTATTTTTGCGAGTTCATCATGCCTTCGACCAGTACAAGGGATCCGGTACCTTTATAAGAAAAGCAGCCCCAGAACATCTTTAATGGATGTTTAACTGTTTGATCAATATGAGCTGCCGTAAGTTTTTCATTGTCACTTTTTCTAACGTAACAAGATCACTGTCCTTGTACCAAAAAATGTCTGTCATCTGAAAACAACACTTTCCTCCAATCTTTGACAGTCCAGCACACACATTTTTTTGTCCAATCATATCATTTTTTCATCATAGCAGCAGTCAATAACTGTTTCTTTTGAGGTCTAACCATTTTTCTTCCACTTTCTATAAGTCGTTTTTGTACAATGGAGTCATGAACAATAACTCTAGCATGTGCTAAGTCTTGTTGAAGTTCTTGACTGGTTTTCCTAGAGTTTAATTTACTTTCTCTTATTAAAAATGCTTCATCCCTTGCTGTTGTCTTTCTTTTCCTTCCACATTTCCCTTTTCTGTTCACCTCAATCGTCCCAGTGTCCCTTTTTTGCTTCAAAATCTTGTTTACAGCTCCTAAACTCACATCACACTCCTTGGCAGTACAGTAGAGCGTCGATTTTCCGAAAGTCAATCATCCGAAAGAATTCCAGTCGGCAAATTTAAATTTTCGCCAGTGCTGTGGCGCTTCAATCTTTGGCTATGTCTTGGGATACTCAAATATTTTACGTTTTTGATACTAAATTAACATCTGAAGTATAATTTTTTATTATTTTTATATTTTTCAATATATTTATTTTGTTTGTACAAAATAAAAAAATAATTTTTAATGATACAATAGTCTTTGTTAGGCTTAACATCGACGAAAATTCAACGCAAAGCGACACGCAACGGAGAAAAATTTAGACATCGGATATGTTAAACTATTTTATCGTACGTAAATCAGTTATCCGGACAACCCCAGTTCCCAATTGATTTGGAAAATCGATGCTCTACTTTATTTCTTTGACTCATTGATGTGTGTTCACTCAAAGTAACAATCTTAGTGTGGTTTTTGGGAGTAATATCCATCTTCAAAAAAAAAAAAAAGCTAATAAAACCTCAGTTCAGCTTAACTTTACCAAAAACGCAATAATTAAAAAAAAAAAAATAACAAAATGTAACACATCTTTAGCTTGGTATGTCTTATTACTCACTGACTGTCAAATCAGTAAAACAAAATGACACAAACATGTCAACTGTGAAAAAACAGCAAAATTGTGTTAATTATGATGTGTTCACATTAATTAGCACAGTACTGTATACATGAATCAATGAAATGCTGTGATAATTTGAATCAACATAAATTTTAAGATTTTTTTAGGCTTCGAGCAGACTGTATTATATCGAATCAGCATTAATCAAGGCAGCGTTAAGTGGGGTTTTACTGTACTTAGGTTTTCTTTCTTGTTTTTCAGATTTAAATGTCATTGCTTTATTTTCATTTTATTGAAATAATGTCAATTCATTTTCTCTCTTATACTGTAATTAATAAAGTGACAACTACAAATTTTGTTAAATGAAGTAGGTTGTTTATTCTATTATTAAAAATTTCAGAGATTAGATATTCATTATATGTTTTAGAACTTTTTTAAAAATACAATTTTAAATCTATATCACAGTTTTTATCCATTGAAAATAAATAAAACCATATTACCATGGTTATACATATTGCTGTCCATTAAAATTGCTACATCAGGAAGGAAAGCAAACAGCAAAATGTTTGTTGTACACATACAGTATAATGGGAGGAAGACATGATTAAATTGACAGGTATACTTGAGGTACAAGAGTATGCAGCATGTTCTACCTTTCATGTAAATTTCATGTTTGTTGTGTGCTGCCTTCATGATATAGCAGCAATTTTAATGGCCAGCACAGCAGTGTTGGCCATTAAAATTATAAATTGTGTGTGTATATGTGTCATACAATTTTATTCAAATAAAATAATATTTATTGTTTTTTTGTTTATTTATTTATTTATATTTATTGTTTAACAATATTTAATTATTGTTTTATTTAATATTTAATTAATTAATATAATTAATAATTAATTATAAATAAATAATTAATTAATACTTAATTATTGTAACAATAGTTAATATTGTTTAATTTAATAAAATTATTGTATTATTGTATTAGAGTATGAGATTACTATTGATGAGCTGCATTGTTTGGAATAACTAGCTCTCTATCAGGCATCTTATGTCACACTAAAAAGATCTATTATAACCTTTAACAATTGAAATTTAAATCTGTATTTGCTTTATATTATTGTTATAAAGATAAATTACATTTTAGGAAATTTTATGACNAGCCTAACTGCCTACTACACTCAAATTGCTTTATATCTAATCACTAAATGAGCCTTGTTACAGCCCGAAGAATTTTGCATTACTAAAATCAGGCAGTTCATTTCGCATTAGTAAAACCAAATGTATAATATTCAATTTGATGTAGCATATGATGTACTATAGTGGAACCTGGCTTAATGAGCATAATTCGATCCAGAATCTTACTTATAATACAAAACACTTGTTAAGTGAAACAATTTTTCCCATATAAATTAATGTAAAATACAATAATGCATTCTATGCCAAAAAAAAATACTCAAATATTTTATGTATAATGTTTATTCAAAGAAAATTATACAATATACATTGTTAAGGAGTGTGAATCATCATAATCTTTTCTTCTAGCATGAATTAACCAACCTGGAATATCTCTAAATTCATACTTTTTAAATTTGAAAAAGTACAAACATAAAGATGTTCTCTCTTTCAAATGTATTCATTCTAATGCACTTGATAATTTTCTTAGCCAATAATGTTCTTATAAAAGAATGAAACATTTATGAGTAAAATTTAATTTGTGCCCAGAATTAAGCATTTTTTTCTCATCCTTCTTCAAAATAGACTCATAGCTTATTGAAGTTAATTTTCTTGAACATAATATTAAAAAACAATTTTTTTTTTGCTTCAGTTACATTATATACTTTACCTATAGTAAATATGGTATTTGAAAAATTTCTCTAACATTATTGCTTTTGGTAATCTGAGGGAAAAACTATATTTGACAATGATCTACACAATGATAATCTTTATTATTACTGTTATTAAAAATAAATTTGAATATAAACAGGCAAAAGCATCATGACTAGATAAAATTTATATTTCAATTTCAAATGTGCATAAAATACTTTATTCAAAATATATATATATATGCAGTACATGTGAAATTGCATGCAAATTCTTCTTTAAAGTTAATTTTCAATGACCTTGTAAATTAATTAAAACTAGATAGATTACATTAGACTTCAAATATCATATATGTCTAATACACTTGTTAAATATTTACTCAATGTTCAATCAGATTTAATTCTAAATTAAATTTAAAAAATATTTACTTTTTTATAATTATTGGGAACAGCTGCAATTATATCAACAAGACGAGGCTGAGATTCCAATCCATATTTGGAAGCAATTGAAGTTTTCAAGCTGAAATATATATTTAAATCTGATAAATAAAAATTTTAACTTATTTATCACTTACTTAAATTTTCATATTTATAAAATAATAATTGTAAATAAGTTTTATAAGTAACAGTTATAATTTAAATTCTAAATTAATTAAAAATTAATTTAGAATTTAAATTATAACTGTTACTTAACTTAATAATTTACATATTATAAATAAATTGTAATGTAAATTCCAATATCAATATTTTGATAAATCACAATATAAAAAATTTTTAGTAGACATGAATAGTTTCATTTTAAAATAAAAAAAGATGACTTGTTTGATTTATAATGCATATACTACCCATAAAGTTGTTCCAAATTTAGTAGTAAAGATGTGAACATAACCAAAAATCCAAACAAAACATTTGTTTACAGCAAAAACAGTTTAATTACAAACATTTTTGGACTTTTTAAAGATCATCTCTCTATCTATACTATGGAATCCGATATTGATGTACTATGGGATAATGCCAAAATCATAAGACTAACAAGGAACATTTACAGCTTAAAACACTTAGCATTCCATAAAATTTACAAGGTCAACTTAGAGCAACGATGAATTAATTTTTGGGACACCAACACATTATCCATGGCCTGGAAATCACTACATGAACTGTAACATGATGATTAACATTCTATTTGCTTTTTAAATTTTATATCAAATAAAATGTATATACAGTAGTTTCATTATTTTATTTTATTCTATTTCATTGTAATCCCAATGTGAATTTTATGTTAAATTTGGCTTCACTTTACACTTTAAACAGTATGTGTTTTCTTTAGTCAAATCTTAAATTTTGTAATTGCATTATAATACTCATTTTATTTTTGTAGCATCTGATGAAGATCTTTCAATCTAGATCAAAAACATTTTTGTAATTAATTTATTTTATTGGAATTAAGAAAGAGAATTTCTTTTTGTCACCTGTTTCTCTAGTTTTTTGGATTTTGTGTTATAAACACATATGTTAACCTGATTTGAATTGCTAGATTATTCAGATGGGATATGGATAAGCTAACTGATAAAGCACTGCATGGCAAGTAGGGTTTCAGATTTGAGTCTTGCTTTTGACTGATCTTTTCTTCCAAGATATTTTAAATTTAAATTTATTTCTAATTATTAAATATGTCATAAGATGGCAGCCTAACTGCCTACTACACTCAAATTGCTTTATATCTAATCACTAAATGAGCCTTGTTACAGCCCGAAGAATTTTGCATTACTAAAATCAGGCAGTTCATTTCGCATTAGTAAAACCAAATGTATAATATTCAATTTGATGTAGCATATGATGTACTATAGTGGAACCTGGCTTAATGAGCATAATTCGATCCAGAATCTTACTTATAATACAAAACACTTGTTAAGTGAAACAATTTTTCCCATATAAATTAATGTAAAATACAATAATGCATTCTATGCCAAAAAAAAATACTCAAATATTTTATGTATAATGTTTATTCAAAGAAAATTATACAATATACATTGTTAAGGAGCGTGAATCATCATAATCTTTTCTTCTAGCATGAATTAACCAACCTGGAATGCGAATTCAATTTGCAGGGAAAAAAAAAATTGAAATTTAATTTGGAATTGGTCATTAAATTTAATATGAGATAACAGCACAACTGCCTACCTCTAGTCAAATTATTTAATTTCTAATATTTAATTATAGCCTTTACATATCCCAAGAATTTGGTATATCGTTTGGTGTGTTTATTATATAATGGGCTATGATTGTCGATGTTTATATGTAATATGTCTGAACACAAGTTTGGAAAAATGTGTGACCACAAGCGACACTAAGATGCTAGCAGAACGAGTGCTAAACACAGACTGATGTAACATGCACTCAATCTGGGACTTCCCCTCTTCTCGTCACTTGTTAAGTGANATTTATTATTATTATAAATTATAACATCCTTTTTATTTTAAAATTTTTTGCAGTTCTAGAAATTAAACTTTCAAGTTTTCAAATTCCTTTTATTGTTTAACAAACAATAAAAGACATTTTTGAAAAAAACAAACATTTTTTGTTTGTTTTTTTCAAAATTTACATTTACTATTTACACAAATTTTTATTTACATATAACATATTGTTGAAATTATGTTCTTTAAGAATATATTTAAAATAATTTATGATGATTCAATGTTAAAAGAAGAAAAAAAAAAGTACTTATATATAGCTTACCTATTTAAATTAATATCTCTCTTTTCTCTGTGTGCTTTAATTAATTCATGTATAATATCTGCCACAGTCATTACCATTAATTCTTCTTTTGTATGATTTTTGTATCCTAAATATAATATAATAAATACACATTACATATTTGATATATTTTATATTAGAAAATAAAAGAAATTTATAAATAAAACTTAGTAAAACCATTTATTTGCATATTCATTTAGATATAAATCTAAATAAGTAAAAACCTAAATAAATACACATTCTATATAGGTAAGGAGTAACTTCTCTAGATGTGGACTGCAATAAACTTTGCATGTTTCCAGTAGACTGCATGCATTTTTTCTTATGCAGATGCAAAATTTAAACCTGATAAGTATCAACATACTCCATAACCACCAGTTCACTAGGTTCTAAAATAATATTACTAATGATATGCAAATTAGTAATATGTAGTCATGATGGCCGAATTTCAGCTCATGAGCAGCATACATTTCTTCTAAACCCTTACTGCAGCTCCCATCTACTTAAACAATTTTTTTTTATATATACTCAGTATGTAGTATGTACTATATATATATCTATTATATGTAATATTTGTTTGGAAAAATGTGTGATCACAAGCGACACTAAGATGCTAGCAGAACGAGTGCTAAACACAGACTGATGTAACATGCACTCAATCTGGGACTTCCCCTCTTCTCGTCACTTGTTAAGTGAGTCATTTTTTTAAAACAATTTCTTTGCTTGTTAGGCAAATTATTCATTATGAGAGGCACTCATTAAGCAAGGTTCCACTGTATATATAAAATAAAATTGTGAGGTTTCACTACATCTAATGTTTTCAAGACAAAACAGAGCTTTCAACTATTTTTTTTTTGTGATACACCTTTATAAAGAGCAACTTGTGAATACAGAAGAAAGAAAGTGACAATGCTCATATACTTATACAAATTATTAGTTTATTTTAATTGAAAAACATTACTACAGATATTATAGATGATAGAGAAAGCTTAATTCCTTTCTATCATTTTGTAAAATCATATAGTATGACAATCCATGCATATCTATCATTGTGTATGGATATATCAACTTCTTGTTTCTTATCTAATTCCTTTTTCTCAATACTAGAGAAATAGAACTATCCATAATGTTTCTGTTTGTCTGTCTGTCTTATTTAGACACAAATAGTCCATTTTCATACTAACCACCAAAATGTTTTATCCAACTTCAATAATTTTACTTAAACTTTTTTTTGTATTCCTTGAACCACCAGAAATTTTTTGACTCCTTTCCCCTTTTTATAATTAGTGTCATAGTCAATAACAGAAAGTTCTGATTTGTCTTTATACCAATTAGATTTTTGTTTTTCTTTACTTTTGAGAGAAAGAAAAAAGCAGTATGAATGCTGTTATTTCTTAGAAATATCTTTCTTTTGGAGACAGATGTTCCCGATCAACTGAATGATAAAAATTATACAGTACTTTATTCTTCAGTACAGTTCAATAATTAATAATTTATGTTCAGAATGTCTAACATACACTTTTTTCCATATTGTTATGCATTTATTTTATCTATAGTTGCTCTAAATGTAATCATCATTTTATCAGCTTCACATAAAATTTTCAGATTTTTAGATAAAATAAAATTGCATTGTTAATTTTTAATATCATCTCAATCTGTTAAGCAATAAATAGATAAATAAATGATTTCCAAAAGAAATTTTATGAATTCCAATGAGAAACATTTAAAAAGTAATTCAAAATAATAACAATAATTTATCATTGAGTATAAATATTCAGTATGTCAAACTAAATGTGGCATCGAAAATAAAAGTTTATTATTTTCCTGTTTTAAATTTTTTGGCATAGTGATATAATCATTTTATAGTTATTTCTTGTTTTAACGAAGTTGTAAATTGGATTAATCTATACAGTAACATAATACAGGTATCTCTTGCTTGATGTGGGATTTGATTAATGCATGAAATTAATTACGACAATTCCTTTATACAGATAGAAGAAATTTTAATTAACGTGGCTTTAACAGGCACCTTTACTTAACATAAATATGTTTTTATTAACAAATAAGGTGTTGGTGAATTTGTTATTTTCTTGCTGAGGGTGATTCTGATATAGATCTGTAGTGTAAATTTTTATTTACATATAATTATTATAGCTGTAAAATATATGTTACTGCTAATATGATATTGTATTCTTTGTATAGAAGCTTATTTTAAAACTTTACTTCACATTTTGTTTGCATAAAATCAAATCGAAATGTCTGTAGATAAAATGCATATCAGGCATATTGTGTACTTTTAAGTTTCATAAAGGATGTAACATTATACAAACAATAAAAGGTACTCATAGTGTGTATGGAGAAGATGATCCTAAATGTTGGGCATGTCAAATCTGGTTTTGAAAGTTTTGTTCAGAAAATTTTAAACTGAATTACTAAGGATAGAAAACATAAGGCCACCCAAAAGCTGTTAATGAAAAGAAATTTCAGGAAAAAATTGATAAAAATTGATGAATAACTCGTGAACTTGCAACAAATCTTAGTAGATCATCAGCATGACAATTGTGTTCTGCATGCATTAAGTGAATAAAAGAAAACTGGATTGAGTATAATTTTGTTTGACAAAGATAGGTAGCTCTAAAGTTTCATTTTATTTTTAAATTAGATTACTCATTTTATCATAGAATATTTTATTTATGGATGGCAAATAAACTATATTTTGTTACTCATGTAAAAGAATTGACCATGTAAAAAGAGGGATAGGTGTATATAATTCTATGCATAAAGTAACATTTATTTGAATATGAAAATGTCACTTTATATTATCTTTGAATCAGAGTTACCAGTAATACTGTATTATCAAAAATTCCTTCTAGAGTAATTTGAGACTCATTGTTACTTTTATACCAGTAGCAACTGTTCCATATTAAAAAATATTAAAGGGTAGTTTCTACCAGTGTAAAAGCAAAAACCATTCAATATATCATATTTTTACAAAATGTCAAGCAGTAACATCTATTTATATTTCAAATGGTCTTCAAAATATCCTTAAATTAACTTCAAAAAGTAATTTTCAGAACAAATTTGAACATTATATACAAGAATTTTTCTGTTTGGTTATGAACTGGTAATGGTTTATTTGGTGAGTGGTATATAATTAAGTACCCAGTTTTTTGAAATATATCAAATTTGAACAAATTACAACAATTAAAATTATAAGTTTTATACAGATATCTAAGTTAATCACACATTAAATTGTGTCATAAGATAAAATAATGATCATGTAAATATATGATATAATTATTTTATAAAACCATTAATTTTCTGTACTATTCGATAGCATCTTTTGCAACAGGATCCACTCCTTTATACATAATAAAGATTGATTAATTTTTGAATTAGTCTCAGTTTTTTAGATAAAGGCTATTAATTAAATTTATAGCATAGATTAAATTGATAACTAAAACATTTTTTCATTTCAACAATTAGAATTCTCTATAAGAATCTCAAACCACAATGTTTTTGATAATAAGCCAAATAATTGCTGTAATGAATCTAGCTACTTTACTGCTGCTATTAATAATTAAAGTTGGTGCCTTAAGTAACCATGGATGTTTATATCTAAAATTAAGTATTTTTAGAGTGAAGGATTAGACAGAGGTCTGGGTAGCATTGCTGGCAACACATCTGCACGGTAAACAGGAGTTGCAGCTTTGAGTCCTGATTTGGGCTGATTCTTTTCTTCTGGTATACTCTAAATTATTTGTTAAATATTAATTAAATTATAATTATTAAATTTAATAAAAGATGGCACCTAATGTGTACATATAGTACCAAATTACAAATTTAGTTATTAATATCTTAGTAACAGTAAAGTACCCCAATTCCTTACTGCAATCATTTGGCTGATAAGAATTCTCTTTAATTAATTTGAATTCAAAAGTAATAAAGCAAACTATTGCAAAAACCAAAAGTATATTTCAAAAAATGCATCTTTAATGATAAAAATAATATAGATACAAGTTCATACAGAAATTTTACATTTATCAGCATTTAAGATTTTTAAACAAAAAATATTTATATATTAAATCAAAACTAAACAAATCCAAATATTTCATTTTTTGAATAACTAAAAATATACACAAATCTCAGATATTACAAATACTAGGTATGTTATAAGAACTGAGTCACTTAATTAAAACAATCTACTATAAAAATAACTTGTGTTTCACAACAGAAACTAATTTTGAACCTTCTTATTTACATTAGTTTTTCTGTAGCATTAATTTTTCAGTTTGGAAACTTTTTTACTCATTTAGACTAAAATATTTATATTCTAAATAATGACAACAAACTTACCTTTCATTTCCTATATAATTTTATACTAAGCTTAATAAATATATTAAATATAATCCATATCTTAAATCAATTTTCTTATGACATTATAATTAATATAAAAGAAAGTTAAAGTATACCTAGGTAACCCCAATGGTGGCACTTTGGTTAGGTTCGGTTAGATTAACTATACTTTTAGTAGACGTTTCCTTTTTTTTATTATTATTTTGTTCAAGAACTACCATGAATCAATAACTAGTGACGTTAGGCAGTCAGCAGCCTGCCGGTGGCTCCCCTTCGGGTGGAGTCTGTCGGGAGCACGAACAGTCAGAAGCGCCACCATTGGGGTTACCTAGGTACACTTTGACCTAAAAGCAATAAAATAAAAGAGAAACAGATGTAAACAGACAGTTATAAAACTTTTTGCAACTGGTTTAGATTAACCTAATTAAGTTCTAAAAAACATTATTATTTTAAAGAAATTAAAATTATAGTAAACCCCACTAATTCAGTGATGGCTAGCCAAGTTAACAGGTTGTTTCTCCAATGATATGGAAAATGAGATGATGAATATACAGTAGAATAATTTATTATGATCAGCTCTATACAGAAGTTTTACTGAGCTGAAATTATACTGCTGAATTTATTATTACAGGAAATGAGCTAAAAAATTTCATGACAGTAAAATATACAGCAATGTACAGTACAGTCTTTAATAACTTACTGACTACAGTAATATAATGTAAAGTGTTGTAA